CCTCCTGAAGCACACTGGTAACTTCAGGACAGTAAGCCCTGACCCCCTAGTATTTGTGCTATCTGGATCTTACTTGTTTAGAAAGCAGGTGAGCCAATGAATATTTTGTTCTGTACAGATAGGGAATTGAAGAACTGTTTATTCAGGGTCAGGAACTGAACTCTTAATTTTCCTTGCTTTCTCTGAGTGCAAGCAAATCACTCTATGTTCTTACTTGATTAAGCATCAAATTGCTTTCTCTTTGCCCTTTCTTCAGACATTCCAGCTGCAGCTCCTGTCTCCCAGCAGCAGTGTCATCCCTGCATTTAACTCTGGGACCATCACACAGGTCATTAAAGTCCTGAATCCACAAAAGGTGAGTGATTCCAAGAACAGTTATTAAAGATATTGTCTTGGGAGTCATGCATTTAGTGGCAGTCAGTTAGGGATGCATCCCTGATGAGAGAGAGGAGTGATGGTAGTGAATGATGTGTTCTTAATGACAGTTATTTTGGTTAGGGTTTGGAAAAAGTTACGAAAAAGACAGGAGGACCTGAGTACAGGTTTGGCCTTCTGTGTTGTTATACTGCTAAAACAGAGTCACAGCTTTGCTATCTTCTTGAATTCATTAATGTCTTTTCCATCAGAATGGTGGTTACACAAGTTTTTAGATGGGCTTTCTAGAGGAGCTCAACTTGGTGTTTGTATGTGTTGTAAAAGTGATGTCTTGAAAGGCAAACATCTTGCCATATAAATACAACATTGTTCTTGCTATCTGCAGCAGTGTTAATTGAAATGTTTGTTACAAAAGATAGCTTGATCCATAATCTTAACAAAATTGTCTGTTTTTCTCAAGTGGTGTCATTTGTTTTTAATGTGATGAGTGTAGTTTTAAATAGTTGATGGAAAGAATCTTTAGGTGTGATTTAATCATAATTCCATTTGTTTTACATCCTTCAGAGACAGGCTTCAAGATTGGGATACAGCAGATTTGAGGGGAGGGAGGGGTGTGGTCCACAGGTCCTCCTTAAGAGGCTTTACAAGTATTCAGATGGCAGCAGAAAGAAAAACAAAATTGAGATCACATATTTCTTCCTTTGTGGGACACCCTTAAGATCTTGAACATCTTTAAGAACTTAAAACATCTTAAGCTTTTCATAGGTTAACACTTATGTACTGCTCTAGATGTTAAGTGTTGCTGCTAGACTGATGTGCAAATTAGAAAAATTCTCAAATCTCAGCCCAAGGTTTCACTGATACGGCTGTCTTCTAGTGTGTAGGTTTTGTGGTTTCCATGCATCTCCCCTTATCTCTGTGTTGTGTACACCCCTCTGTCTACATTAAGCCACAAGACTAGTTATTTTGTGTCTTGTATACATTTGATATTAATTTCTCTGTGATGCTGTAGAGCACCATTTAAAGATCATCTTGAAAGTTATTTTCTGAACTTGGGGGGAGGGTTTAGGAGTTTTCCTGTAATGTGCCAGAAGTCACAATATATCCACATCAGACAGGACCCACAAGGTGAAATACCCCTAGATAGTGGGATGCTTTTCTGTGACAGAACTCCTGTGAACACTTCAGAATACAGAGGTGCAAAATAGTATTACTGCCGCCTTCCTTTGCCCACTGTTTTCTAACTCTTCCACGTCAGGCATTTGTGCATCTCTCTCACTGTCCTTTAGATTGCTACTGCCTGGAAGTACAGCTTTGCAAGAACCCTGTCCATGAGATAGTGTAGTTACCTGGCATACTCTGAGGGAGGAAACCTTGGGACAGCCTTGCTACTTAGGAGGTAGCTGTTTGTCTTGTCAGTGTTTTAAAAAAAGACTGTTCACCTGGACATGGACTGCCGTGCTGGATTGAAACTCATGGCCAGTTTCCCAGAACAACACCAAATAGAACAAAACCTGACGCTGATTATATTGATCTGTTAGTGATAAAGCATAGCTTCCTTATCTCGAGGCTGGTTGGAGTACTCATTGTCCTCCTTTCCTCCATCTGCTATCCTTTTTGCATATTTCCCTGTAGGTATGGGGAAAAGAGGTGGAAATAGCTGACTTTTTTCTTTTCCTTTTAGAGTTTTGGGAAACAAGGTTTTTTGGAGAGGGTGGAGAATAGGGAACCTGGTTGGAGCATGCTGTGCTCAGGGTATCATTAAGGACCACCTAGTATCTGGATGACAGCCAAATGACAGAGCATAAAACTACTTCTGAGCTATTCCATCATTTACTCACAGCAGGAGGAGGTGTTCTTAGAGACTGTTTCCAGTCTGTCTTAGGCTGTTTCCTTCACAGTGCTACTGAGCTATGCAACACTTGAAGTTTCCAGACAGCTGCTTTGAGTGAACAGCTAGTATGGGAAATGACACCTCTCCCTGTGAGCCTAAGTGCAGAGCAGCGGAGTCTGGATCTGCCTCCTGCTTTCTTCCATTGTTAACTAGGATTTTAAGGCAGTTATTTTTGTATTTAAGGAATTTAGTGCTTGTGAGAGCAGGGCCAGTGCAGAGAGAGATGTGGGTAGAAGCTATACTATACCTTTTCTGAGAGCTTGTACCTGATCTGAGAACTACAGTGACCAATCAACATCCTACCAGATTAAGGGTTTATCTGCAGTGTCATAGCTTACCCTGCACATCTTTCCAGCAAGCTCCTGTGGTGAGGAAAGGTCCATGTTTTGTATTCATGGGGCAAGGGAGGGGAGCTGGACATGGGGGGATTTGCTGACCTTTATTGAAGACCTGAATTTGTTTTGTGTTTGTTTTCCCCTTTTCTCTTGTAGCAACAACTACGTATGCGGATCAAGTTGACATATAATCACAAGGGCTCAGCAATGCAGGATCTAGCAGAAGTCAACAACTTCCCCCCTCAGTCTTGGCAGTGAGGCTCTGGCACCATTCTTATTCTCACCCCACCCAATCAAAAGAACTCTGGGAAGAAGGTTGTGATCCTTGGCAATCCCCCAAACTGCACCATGGATATGGGGAACAGATGAGACCTGCTGATGAGGAGGAATTTTCCTGAAGTGATTGCTGACTTTGAAGCATATCTGTTAAGACTAATCTCTCCTCAGCTGATGAGGCTGGCGGCTTGTGGAGGCTACTGTGCACTCCCTCACACATGCATTCACAGCCAGAAGCAGCATTCCCTTCTCCCATCTCCCTCGCCCTGCCCCCTGCCTCACAAAGAAACACAGCCTGGTTGGAAGAGAAGTCTGGAATTTCTAGCAGGGAAACTTTCTTCTCTCTGCAGCAAGTGAACAGCTGCCCCTTCTTTCTGCTGTCTTTTTCCCCTGGGGTGGGTAAGGCGTGTTGTCATTCCTTACTAGCTGGATTCCTTCAGGCACTTTCATCTGGGGCTCAGATTGGAGACTTGGTGAATGTCAGGCTGCCCTGCCTCTTTCTTCCTGTATCCTGTATGTCTGAAGGGGCTGGAGGCTTCTTATGGCCTATTCAGTGCATTATTGTATACACCCACCTCTTAGTTCTGTGATACGTACCAAGAGCAAGTTAGGCCTTGGGAGTTCATGTGCAAACCTGGGACAGTGCGGAAAAAGAGGTGCTGGTCAGAGTTGATAAAATTGTTTTGGTGCTGTACTTGGAAATGAAGACCTTACACTTGAATTTTTTTTTTCTTTCCATCAGTAGCTACAGTGACACAGATTCACACATGGTCTTCTGTAGCTTCCCCAGAAAGTCTGGTGATATATGAGAGATGTAGAGATCCAAGGAGCAGCTGGTTTTCTACCACAGATGGTTTCAAAGCCTTTTAACCCATTAGTTGTGGTTTATGGGTAGAAAAGACATATTCAATTTTGTAGATCAGTCTTCGAGCAAGGGCTCTGTTCCTGCTGGGAGACTCATCAGAGACTATGCTGCAAAGTTGCTCTTCCCAGTTATTCCAGACCTTCTCCCCAATTTAATTTCCAGAGCCTGTTGTAGACCCCCTGGATTCCATTTGAGTTACTTCCGACTGGGATATTTGTGTTGTATCTGTAATATTGGCACTGAAATAAAGACCATGCGGTTTAAAGAGACCTTTTCCCATTTTGTTACTTAATTGATCCTTGTAGTTTGCTCCTTGCTCCCCTTTCAGAGGAGTATGCTAGTTCAGGTTCAAACTGAAAGTAACTGAACTGTTTTTTGAATGGAAGCCAGTTGTTTGAGTATTTGGATCCAAAGAAGTTGAGGTCCAGTACTCTTCTAAGCTTACAGAAAGTTGTGCTCAGTCATGCTTCCTAGTGTGAAGTCTTGTCAAGGTAGTATCGTTCTGTGAATTTTCATGGAGGCGATATATAGGACATAAAGCACAGTGTGACAAAACTATTCAGATGTTCAGCACTCTTCAGGGAGGAAGAGGGGAGGATATGTCTTAGATCTTCATCCGTGAGCATGCCGGCAAGCTGAAGGTACTCCAGCTTCTAACCCAGTGCTTTCTCAAAAGAAACAGATGGCACGTGCTTTATTTTTGTTCTAGAGCTTTCCAGATAGCCATCATTCAGTGCTCTGATGGCAAACTTGGACACAGCTTTTTGTGTCTGGAAAAGTGCTAACACTAGGCTCCAGTCCTTGCCAAAACCAGTGCAAGAGTGGTGCACAGTGTACTTAGGTAAAATTGAAGACCTCTTCTGCCCTTGAATTGGGAGCAGGAGGCGCTAAAGGTTTTTCAGTCTGCTTTGTTAATTAAGTAATACGATGTAGGACTGACTGTTGCTGACTTCACTGCTGGTCTGTGTAGTGGAATAAGTTTAGCTTCTCTTGGAGGGCATTTTTGCTGCCTTACTGATTAAACAGGTTTGGGCCTTTGTATTAGCAAAGAGCTTTATTATTGTACTGGAACTGGCAGCAGCAGTGGGGGTGTAAGATCTAGAAGAATGATGTATGAATTCCTTAAAAGAAATTCTGGGTTGTGGCAGGGTCATGCCTTGGCTATCAGTGGTGAGACAGATACTGTGCTTCAGCTGGAAGGATCATGAAGCAGGCAGTCTTGCAGTAAATGGCTGAATCAAAGTCCATTTGTAGGAGCTGCACATTTTCCTTTGTTGCTTTCACTGCAGTTGTGACTATTCACCACCCCACTAGCTCAAACTCCTTAGTGTTGAAGGCTGTGTGTGTTAAATCTAGACTCCAGTGAGCTCTGAGAATGTCCCAGATATGAACCTAATGGAAAGTCTTTGCCTTAGTTCCTGAACTCCCCATAAGCTCTCCTGTTCTTACAGAATTGTACATGACCACTTGTACTGAAAGCTGGCACACCTCAGTCTCCGTTTGGTTTTGCTGAGAACGAGCACTGGTGCAGGAGATTAGATGGGGAGAAAGAAGTAAATGGTCTTTCACCTGGTCAGTTTTTGTTGCAGCGTAGTTGGGAACAGCTTGTCTTGTCCCTCTTGCTGCTCTTGTTTTCTGTCCCCTAGAGCAGCTGCGTTTTGTTGTTGATCTCCATCTGGTAATTTGTAGGGTAAATTCCTGCTATGCTCTTGGCTCCTTCAGCCACCGTTGCACAGCGTGTGTGTTTAGGGAAATAGGGGCTTTTTCATATATTTCTGAGTCCAGCTGAAGGAGGCAGTGCATATACCTGAAATGCATTTTGCTTGAAGCCATCCCTTGGCTATGAAGTGCTCCTTTGTAGCAGCTGAACATTCCTGTTGTCCTCAGAACTACTAAGGGATAGGGTACTAACATTATGCCAGAAGGAAGGCGAGGTTTCACATGTTCCCGTATCTGCAATACTAGATACCATGGCTTGCTCCTTGACCCCTATTTGCTTCTCTTAAGCTCTGTGCTGCTGCTTTGTTTACTTACTGGAGAGTACTCACATGTGCACATCTGAGGCACTCTAAGCATAGAGTGGGTCTTTTTTCCACCAGTTCAATGCAACAGTTCTTAAAGGTCTGGTCAACATTTTCCCTGCTCCGGTGTAAGGGGAACGTAAAGGGAGCAAGATACAGACTTCATGGCTGATCTTACCAGTATCTGCATTGGAGACTTTGGAGCTGGGAGAGATTGAATGTCTGGTTTTTTTTCAAGTGAATGTATTTTGAGTCAAAAAATGACAGAAAGAATAGTGGCCATAATGGGCCCAAAGGGGAGGAGACATGGGAAGGTCCTAAGATTCGACTTTGTCCAGGTTTTGACGGAACAAAATACGGCCTTGAACAACCTTTTGAAGCAATAGCAGTGAGGGGACTGCCACCTATACCGTACCTTGGATATATAACTCAAAAGATGCTGAAACAGCTGGGAAAGGTGACTTAGTGCCTTCCCCAAGGCTAGTACTAGCTGCAAGGTGGAACAGCAAAGATGGCTTTTTTTTTTTTAAGATCTGCTGGTGCGCTTTCTATGTGTTCATTTTCTACTTGGGGGCTGTGAGGGAAGGAGCTACTGGACTGCTTCCCTCTGAATTTTCACCCTATTCCTGTATATTCCTTTTTCTTTCCTGATGTTGTAATTTACATTTTACATAGAGCCCCATCGCACCTCTTTGACAGTATAGTTACAAAAAACCAAACACCACACAACAAAAAACCTAAATAAAAACAAACCCAAAACAAAACCTCAACAAACCCAACCAAATTTAAAGTAAAAACATGCTATTTGAGCAGGGAGCCTGGTGGCATTCTAAATTCTGCAGACCTATTTTTGAGATGTGAAAAATTTCAATAAATGCTGAGTCTTAGGTGAGTGAGGAGCATAACAGATGTAAACATTTACATGAGATGCATTAGACTTCTGCTGTGTGTATTGTCTTTTGGTTGAAACAAATTATGAAGTGACTAATAAAATGAGTCGATATTCAATGATTTAAAACTGTGCCTTGTTGCTTTTTGCAAGTATAGTGGGATAGGAATTACTGATTCTTAATGTTTGGCTATAACAAGGTCAGATGATGTGAAATAATAAGGGCAGAATTTGAAGAAAAAAAAAAAAACGAACAAAAAACTTTCCAGGAAATTTTGGAGAGCAAAATGAGTAGACAATTACAAAACACTTAAACAGTTCATGTGAAATACCATGCTGGAAGAGAGCTTGTCCGTTACTGGCAGCAGTACTTGTATGGGTGCTAGAAAGGGGTCATGAGATCTCAATACAAGGTATGTTTTTCCCTGGTGTTCGCAGCCTGCCCTCGGAGTTGGTTATGATTCCCTTGCTGATTGAAAAGCCCCCTTTCATACTCCATGTGCCTCTGGGACAAGGACTGTTGTCATCTGTCCATTAAAGCAATACATGTGCCTGCTGTAAGGTTCTTCCTTGCATTTTCTAGTCACAGTAACATTTTATTAGATAAATTTTCATGTATTTTTCTAACACATAATTGCACTTCTCTCTGCAAAGTACAATCTCCTCTGTATTGCCATGTGTCCTTCCTGTATGGAAATTTTCTTGAGGCAAAGTAGTTAGTTACAGAACTACAAAGCTGTACCTGCAAATGCATTGTAATTGTGCCTTTCTGTAGAGAAAACCCAATGAAATTTTGATTTATTTTTAAAGTCTCCTCAGCTTGTGTGTGTAGTCTGGAAGCGTTAAGAACTAGATGGGCTTTCCTGTGACTGCCTTGGTTCAATGACATGAAATAATACAAAGTGCCAGGGAGCACTTTTAGCCTTGCTGATAAGATGGGTTGTCTGTCAGTACCTTGTTTTCAAATAGGAGATCCTTCCAGGTACTGGAGAATTGAGAAATGGCATCAGAAACTGCCAGTTTGTGTGGCAGTGAACAGTCAGTCATCTTAGGTCCTGGTTCTGGAGCAGGACAGACCACTGGGAAGCTGTTCCTTGGCATTCC